AATTCTCACTCGAAAGATGAACCAGCAGATGAGTGACCTCTGGAAGGCACACTTAAACAAACTGTAAGTTTTATGAAAGATCATATAAATTATCAGTATGATAAAATAATGTTTACAATTACTACAATATTAACTTTAAAAAGATTAATTTTTGTGAAATAATATTCAAAAAGCACTTCAATTGCCCTGTAGACTGTGTACAGCATTTAAGATTTTGTGGGTGCAAGAATAATACATATGCCTTCAGCATTGGCCCTAAGTAGCCCCACCTGTGCTGGGGCCATGTGTTTACCGGGCGGGTAACGCATTTAACTTCCTCCTCTGTTGACTTCACCTGACTGCGGGTTGGCATCGCCAACTTGAAGATTCACAAGTACAACTCAATTTTTTAGGCGAACCATCCTTCCTCATATTTACCGGTATATGAAAAACCCCATCTATGTTTGAATCGAGAATAAAACAGAAATACTTCAAGTTTAATTTCACAAATATCGGATTCAAACTATCCTGTGTAGCGGCTGAACAGCGTGGAGGCGGGAAATTCGGTACACAGTCTTCACACGGATTGACCAATTGGGCCGAAGGTAGCCTAATAGGAAGATATGAGTCCAAGAATGGATTGGATCGTATGGATCTCGCTGTGGCGAACGGATCTACTGAGGATACTTCAGACCAGAGATTGACAGGTTGCGGTATATTCTGAAATAAGGGAGTAGACTCCATAGCCTCCTCCAGCAACCGTCCAAACCCTATTCCATCATATTCATCGGTCATGATGTTTGTAGAGGCTATATCACTACAGCTATACAAAACGTCTTACCAAATACCAATGGAAAACTTTCTAGGGTAGGCTAACTGCTAGTAAGTGATTTACCAGACTTTTCTAGTGGAAAAGTCGTAAAAATCGGTAAAGAGGTTGACGATGAAGATTAGACTCACTTAGATCCTTCACGATCCTGGCCGAAGTAGTCAAGCAGTCGACTTGCCAAAGGATGGCTCCGTGAAGACTGGGATCCAAGTTTGTTGGGTCGCGAGTTGTGAAAATTGAGGGAAAACACGTTTGTAAAGTGTAATAGAGCCCGAGAATGATCACCAGAGAGGTGTCGTTGAAGGGCAAAATAAACAGCAGGGATGATCACCAGAGAGGTGTCGTTGAAGGGCAAAAATAAACAGCGGCAGGTGGGGAGAGAGGTGAGC